TATTTTAAAAGAACATTAAGGAAATTGTTTAATTAAAATGATTGAAATCATTATTTTAAACGAAAAATAAGGAAATCATTTATTTAAAATAATTAAAATTATTATTCTAAATGAACAATAAAAATTATTTATTTAAGACAATTAAAATTATTATTTAAATGAATGATAAAAAATTATTTATTTAAAACAATTAAAATTATCATTTCAAATAAATGATAAAAAAATTATTTAATTAGAATAATAATAATATTTTAAACAAATGATAGAAATCATTCAATTAGAATAATTAAAATTATTATTTTAAAAGAATAATAAAGAAATCAATCAATTAGAATAATTAAAATTATCATTTAAATGAATAATAAGAAAATTGTTCAATTAGAACAATTAAAATTATCATTCTAAACAAATGATAAAAGAATTATTTAATTAAAATAATAATAATATTTTAAATAAAGAATAAGAAATTATTTAATTAGAATAATTTTCTTATTATTTATTTGAAATGAACTATTTGAAATTTTAGATTAATCTGAAATTTTCAGTTCAATTCAGATTTTTACTGATAAATAGAAAATATGTAATGTATGCTGATCTATGTATATATGTATAGTAACTAATATATAGCGATATATGGTGATTAGTTTATTGGTTTATACATACATACATAGATTATATATATATATACATTATACAGACCTCCGCTAAAAGTTTTCAGACGCTATCTTTTAGACTTTTCATATTAATTATATTATATTACTATAGAAAATTGCAATTATATAATATTCTGCCTATTGTTTACTTAAATCAAACCAAATAAATATGTGTTTGATTTGTTTATTTTGATTTTAGATCAAAATAAAATTTTATTTTTAAAACAACAAAAATATTCAAAGAATTAACAATAGAATAGTGTGATAGCATAATTTTTGCTATCAATGTTGCGATCATTATCAAATTATTGCCATAACTATCTATTAAGAATCTATGGATCAAAGTCAAGAAGAGCATCTGTGAAAGAAAAAAATTGCCTTCCAATTTTGCTTAACTCGATCAACATATTATAAGAGCATAGAAACAAATTCTGATACAAAATATCGAAAATTTAGTTGATAGTATACTGCAGCGAATTTGGGCTGTAATTAAAGCAAATTGAGGTCTGACCAAGTACTAATTATTTATTACTAAATGTATAATATATCATACTTTAATAAATATATTAATAAATATTTTTTAATAAAATTTAAAAATTTCAAATTTTATATTGAGCCAAAAAATGTCTGAAAACTTTTGGTAGGAGTCTGTATGAATAATATATATATATATGTTATATATACCATATATTATCATACATAGCTATACATCATTTATTATACATATATACATTAGTTTTAATTAAGATTTAATTTTGTAAATTTAATATACTTATATCAGATTTATTTTTAAAATTTAATAAATTTAAACAAAAATTGTTTTATGGAAAATCTTTTTTAAAGTTAATAGCAAATTATTTTATTTTCAAAGAGAAACATTTTTTATAGGATTTCAAAATCAACTAAATCATGCTTTTATTTATATTTAAGCTTTTTAAATCATTCTGATTTTAGTCATGAAAGATTTGTATAAGATTTAGGTATTAATTAATCTTTAAATACCTATTAGTTAAATCCTTTAATATTTGGGTCATTAGGTGATAAGTCCTGTAAAAAAAGAATTTATTTTAAGTTTTTTTTTAAAAAAAAAAAAAATTTAAAAATAAATTACAATTAAAAAGAATTTATGTTAAATTTTTTAATAAAAATCAAACATAATAATTAAAATTACTTACCTCTTGTAAATATTAGATCCTTCAAGATTTGAATTGGTTAAAGGTAAGTTATATAACAAATTTAGTTAAATTTTTTTTTTTAAAAAAATATCTAATTACGATTACTACTTTTTATATATACTGCCTTTTTCTCTTATTAGATTATTTAGAGTTAAGTCTTATAAAAAAAATTTTTTTAATATTAAATTTTTTTTTAAATCAATCAATTAACTAAATAATTATATTACTTACCAGATTCTTCAATTATCAAATTACTTGAAGTAAATCTTAAAAAAATGTTTTTTTAATATGAAGATTTTTTAAATTAACTAATGACATTACTTACTCTTTAATAGATACCAGATTCTTCAATTATCAGATTATTTGAAATAAGTCCTATTAAAAAAGTATTGTTAAATGATTTTTTTTTTATAAAAAAAAATTCTAAAATTTATTTACCTTGTAAAATATCCAAAACTTCAAAGCTTAGACTATTTAAAGATAAATCTATAAAAAAAAATACTTTTAATATTAATATTTTTTTAAAAAAAAAATAATAATAAAACCATTACTTTTTTTTATAGATATAGCTATTTATTATTTAAAGATAAGTCCTATATAAAAAAATATATATTTTAAATAAATAAATTAACTACTACTTACCTTTTTATAGATACTAAATTCTTTAATAATTAGATCGTTCAGAGGTAAATCTTATGAAAAAAATATATTACAAACTTGAAAAGTTCCTAAAAAAAATAATTTTTTTTTTGTTTGATTCATATTTATACCATATATCATACATCATACATATTTGCTAATGAATAGCAGATCATCTAATATTGCTAAATCAATCAGAGATCATTAAAGATTATAAAAGGTACTTTGTCATGTAACCAGAAAATTGTGATACTAATTTTTATTTACAAGAAGTTGATGAAGAACTTGATCAGTATTTTATAGTAATTTTTTAAATATATATTAGATTAAGTATTGATCATTAATTATATATATTTTTATTATTAACATTGCAATCAGAAATCTGGTTTAAGAAAAAACATATTGGATATAAAAGATTAAATTCGTTTATAAATCATATTGCAAAATTATTTGGAGTTGATGTAACAGATCATAAAATATAAAATCATTCTATAAAGAAAATGCTGAGACAAGGTTACAAAGATTAGGCATTAGCAAAGAATAAATTGCATTACAATCACAACATAGATCATTTGAAGGAATTAATGCATATGCATTACATTCTGAACAATAACATCACAATATATTGAATAAATTTGCTAGCAAATTTCAATCTGCGTCTCAGGGTTTATATTTTAAACATATATATATATTTTTTTATTTAATAAATTTGAAAGAGAATTAACATTTTTTTTTTTTAAATATATTCTGATTTTAAAGCTACAGCAAGTATGAATTCAACCAATATTTCTAAGGACCAAGAACAGAAAGGCTTTATTTCTTCTTATAAAAGTAAGTAAACAAAATTGTCAATTTCATGATATAAAAACATTAATTAATTACTTTTATTTTAGTGTTGAATCATAAAATATCACGCAAATTTGATGAAGATAATTTAAATAATAAAAAGTACAAAGAAATCCATTACATTCGTTAACCACAAATTTGGAAGTAAATATGCGAACTGATCAATTTAAAAACGGCATGATCCTAATAGGCTGACTAATAAATTTAATTATCGTTTTGAAAACCTACGTTTGTGATCAATATTTTTTAAGCTAACGATGTAATGATAAACTCTCTATTGTCAACATTATATATAGCAGCAGCTTTCATTTCCACCGTCTAGCCCAGTTAAACCGAAGCAACCAATTGTCCGCGCCAGAATAATATATCTATGACGTTCAGTTCCAAGTTTAATAATAGTTTCAAGCATTGAAATGTAAGTAAATTGGATCAGTAATAAATTCAAACATTCCATTCGATTGCAAATGTTAGAATATTGGTATCTTAAACATATTAGAAAAATTCATATACAAAAACACAATATTTCCATCATCACTTTATTAACATTATCATACTTTGTCATATCTGTTATGAAAGGTGAATTTGCAACAGGATTAACAGGATTTGAGAGAGGCGTTCAAATATGAATATGCCGTTCTTTGATGGTTGACTTTCAAACTATGAGGACGAGCACGATTCCTTACTTTGAACGTTCTTTTAATTATGACTTTTGACATTGAAATCCGGTTCGTTTATTATTGATCTGTTGAGGGAGCATCAAGCGTTAAAGGATATCAGAATCATCCGTTGTGCATTCGAGGTAGCCGAAATGATGAACCTTAAGATTCCAACAGATACAAATCATTTTTTTTTTTTTTTTTTTGGAAAAATATCAAGATAACGTGTCGATATTATATCCTGATCCATCCAGTATTTTTTATTTTCATATATTCATAAATATTTTTGCAAATTATGAAAATTATGAAGGTCGTCGCTTGAAGATTGTCTCTATTATCATATGTGAGTAGCGTTTATTTAAGGTGATGCTTGATGTTTCAATAGATACTGTATATTGATGTCATTTTATTTAAGGAAAAAGTTATAGAAGTAACGAAAATGAGAATGAAAATGGGTGGGGATTTGGTCATAGAGATATTTCTCGTGCCATGTTGGATGATACTTGCAAGTTATCGGTTGGAAATTATTATAAGTTAGAAGAAATACGGCGAGCAGTTTCGTAGTAGTTCTCCTGAAACTTTTCGAATTTAATAATTCTTATTTTAACTTACTACATTTATAGAGGATCGCATTGAGTTGTGGCAGATACAAGTATTTTATTGTCCTCCATTTGGATCTTATGTGTTATCTTTGACTGATAATTATGTTCTGCGATCTTTTTGATACACTGTGTGAATCCGATATACATGTAATTTAAAAGTATTTAATGTACAATAAAAAAATTAAATTTAAGAATTAAAGGTCATTTGGGGCCTCGTCAATAGAAACACATAATAAATTATTAAGTAAGATGTGTTTCTATTGACGAAGCCCCAATTAATCTTTAACATTGATGATTTTATTCATTTTTAAAACATACATGATAAAAAAACTAAATATAATAAAGTATATACAATACATGAAAAATAATTGAAATACATTTTTATCAAGATATTATTTTTTTGTTGCGAAACGTTGGAGTCTATTTCAACTATTTCACAACCCGTTCTTGCGGTTCTTCGGACTCCTCCGAAGTTTTTAATTTTTTCCGTTCTAAATTTTTTGTTGGTTTAGTTTTTCGTTAAATAAAAATATTTAAACACTTTATTGTAAAACTTACGTTGAATTCATCGGAAAAAAACTCTTCTATTGGGAACCCGTTTAACACTACGTGTTGTTTTTTACACATTTTTTTTCCGACTTGTGTTTCTTTGCCTTTTATTGAGGTTGAAGTAAACGGGATAATAGAAGTAATTAAAGAACAACTCGTGGCGTGGATAGAAGCGTTAATGCCTTTGGCAATAGTTGAAGAAACAGTAGAAACGCTTTGGGGTTTATCGATATCCATTTCGGTTTAGAGTGTTTGAGATATGATTAACAAATTTAGTGTAAAAAAAAACGTATGGCTTGCAAGATTTAAGTATAAAAAAAAATAGACTTTGACGAGCTGTTTGGAAAATGAGAGAATCCGAAAAAAAAAAAAAAAAGAAATGTCCATTTGCATATTTGTCACGACATAACTATGTCCGGATTAGGGGATGGGCGTTAATTAACAACCAAAGGATCTTTTTAGTTGAATGTTTCCCCATAAAATTTACTAAATGATGCAAATGCACGTGCAATTAGCGTTTTTCCAGTTCCGTAATCCTTAAAAATATTTGATATGCGTTAGTACGACTTGAACTTTTTAGTGCAATTCAATGATTATGGAATTACCAAATTGGGTAAATAACTCGGGATTCTTTAGAGGAGTTTCTACATCTCGCGAATTATTTTAATTTGTTCTGTTAGTCCACAAATTGAATCATGTTTGCATTTCTATCTTTACTAACATTCTTTCATTAAGAAATTTAAAACTATTAACTGTATAATTTATAACGGTTTTTTAATCTCAATTTTACAAGAACATATGTGTGGTAAAATTACAACAGATGTATCTCGGCAAACCAATTTCTAAGTAACCATCTTCAATAGCATTCTCATCTTTCACAGGATTTATATCTTCCACATGAAAACTTCTTGATATTGAAATTCTACGCGATTGTTTTTTCATTAAATATTTAAGGTTTACTACAAATTAAATAAATCATTTTTATTTAATATCAAAATATTTTCAACATCTGATCGATAGGAAAATCGACATATCCTAATGGGTTCAGTACAATTCTAGATGCATTTACGATGAAACTTTTACGCGACAAAATCGCGATATCACCAACCTCAAGATTGACAATTTCACGTTGCAATGTATTTAATTAGATCTCTTAAACATTCAAAGAATCTAAGTGTAGCATTGAAAAAAAAAAAAAAAAAAAACTTGATTTGATTCGCGATTAAAAAATATACATACGGTTTTTGTTAATAGCAAATGATGGCCAAGCGATAACCACATTCATCGTTTAATTGAAAGATAATTAATAATGAAAGGAATGCTATTTAGTAATAATACCTCAACGAATTTATTCTTTTGCTCTAACTCGTTTTCAAATTCTTTTCTGACGAAAACACATAACTTATGTTCTCGCATAGTTTCAACATGTAAATAAATCCTTCTGCCAAAACGAACATTATTACTACTGCTAG